GTAATGTACCTCTGGTGTTTGTTATTTATGTCAAAAGGTTTGTTATCAGTACCTGAATTTAATATTTTTCAAGAGTTTCTGGTAAAATATGACATTATACCATTATGTAGTGTCTCTATTATTGTCACAGTATTGCACGGCATGTACAGAAACACCAACGGCTGATAACTGTTATGGAAAGTTTGGATAACGGTAAACCAGTTCGTGAATCACGTGATGCCGATGTACCGACTGTAGTTAGGCATTTCTATCACCATGCAGGATGGGCACAGTTGATGGACACTGAAATGGCTGGATGGAAACCTGTTGGTAAGTTGCCATAGTTACCATGTCATGATTGAATAAATCAATAGTTGCATTTTTAATATATTCATGATATACCATACTGCTCTGATCATAAGTCCCCTCCCCAAGTATTAGCCAACCACTATTACTAGCTGCTGTCATCAAGTGCAGCTCATGAGTTGACCACACCTGTCGTCATTGAAACGACTTCTTCTCCAAAACTGTCAGCTGGATTGCCATGCTATACATATTACACCTACCTGGGATGGTCCGCTGTCAGATTTGTTCATTTCATGACATCACATTAAATCTCTATTTTCAACCGAATATTTTTGTAATTTATGGCTAAAAATGATTTTTTCTACAACTGCTTGTCAGATTGCTTTGCAATTCGGCATGAATGTTATTGACATGAATTACACTCAGACTAATTAATTTCATGCAGTCAGCTGGCGCACAAGTGATAATAAAATAAATGCGATATTTACTATATGTGGGACGCTATCTTAAATACGGCATGGAACTAAATAAAGAGAAGTGTTGTGAAACAAGGTTTTCAGATTCCTTCAAATCAGGAAAAAAATACCAATCCTATACAGCCAAACGTTCCGTTGGGGTAACATTAAGCCAACCGCTAATAAAAATTTACCAAACATGTTCAGACCCTTTGGCTTATGGTACAGGAAATACCAAATATTTCAAAAGTAGCATCTGGTTTAAAGTTGCACAGCAACTAATACTATATTTTTAGTGTACTCAATTTTCTATCTGGATTTTCACAGTCCTCCTAGAATAAGTATTCAAACAGAATACAGGGTATTTTAGTTGGTAGAAAATTGAACAATGCAAACTATTTCATTACATTTCAAGTATGAGTATAGAATGTCGTCAAGTTTTATAATCATAATCAGATACACGTATCCAAATGGCAGTCAAACTGGGGACATTCACCAGATTTGTGACCAAATAACACTTTGAGTTGATTACTGAATTACTTTACTGAACGTTGTATTCAATCCTGATTATTAAAGTCACATCTCTTGTTCAAAAAATTAGTATTTACATGGTTATTTACTTTGAAATATACTATGGTCTTCCGACATAGTGTCCTAGTCTGTGTGTATTGTGAATTAGTTTATTGTTGAGCATACTGAGTACCAAGGAAAATGTGACTTATGAATCACCTGTGTCGTTGAAGCCATGTACGATAAAGACGATCTATACACACCAACCACACTGCTTTATTTGTTAGCTTCGCTGTCGACTTTGTCGAGCGGAGCTTATCATTTGAGTGATTGTCCCTCAGCGTCCATCGTTGTCTGTGTCGATGTTTTTCTTTTTTGACTTCTTCTTGAAAACTACAAGCCTGAATGCTTTGATACTTGGTGTATATGTACCTTGAGTAGGCCTCTCTTAGATTTGTTCATTTCATGATGATATCTTCAATTCTCTAATTCTGATGAATGTTTTTTGTCATTTTTGGTAAAATGTGATATTTTCGACTTCTTGTTAAAAACCGCATGTCTGATTGCTTTGATATAACATATATAAGTACTACATGTGGATCTCTCTCAGATTTGTTCATTTTGTGATGATATCATCAATTATCGGGGTATTTAATTTTAAATATTTTTGAATTCTTGTTGATTGTAATGTGCATTGCAAATAGCGGAGCTCTCTCAGCTGACAGGCTGCTTGTTAGTCCCCGTTCGGACGGAGTCCGAAAACGGGGACTTATGTTTTGCCCTGTGTCCGTCCGTCCGTGTGTCCGTCCGTCCGTCCGTCCGTGCGTCCGTCCGTGATCACCTGTATCTCGAACATGCATGGACCGATTATGTTCAAACTTCACTCATACATCACACATTATATGGGACATATGCACATG